CCTGACATAAATGGTGTACAGAGTCTTGAACGATTCCTTACTGAGGTATTGGAATGTTATCCTTAGGTTTGCCAGACGCCCATATGCTGCAGCAATTATCTGATTGATGTGCTCCTCAGGAAAGGTGCTCGGCATTATACTCACCCCAAGATCTTTTTCCTTTCGTGAGGTTTGCAGTCTTTGGCCACCTAGACTATACAGTGTCTGCGGTCTTCTTTGCCCTTCCCAATCTTCATGACTTTGCATTTGGCAGGGTTAAATTCAAGGTCTCTTTGTAGTCCTGCCTGATCTTCGACCGATTTGATTCTCCTCATTAACTTCAAATCATCTGCAAACAAAGAAACTTCTGAGTCTATTCCTTCCAGTTTTGTCATTCACGTATACCAAAAACAGCACAGGTCCTAGGACTGACCCCTGTGGAACCCCGCTTGTCACAGGAGCCCACTCTGACGCCTCGTCATATACCATGACTTGTCTTAGGACTGACCCCTGTGGAACCCCGCTTGTCACAGGAGCCCACTCTGACGCCTCGTCATATACCATGACTTGTTGTTGCCTCCCTGTCAGGTGTTTTCTGATCCATTGCTGTGCCTTTCCTGTTATGTGTGCCTGATCCTCTAGCTTTTGCATTGACTGCTTGTGAGGAACTGTGTCGAAGGCATTCTGGCAGTCCAAGAAAATGCAGTCTATCCACACCTCTCTCTCTTGTCTTACTTCTGTCACCATGTAATAAAGCTCCAGTAGGTTTGTGACACAGGATTTTCCTTCCCTGAAACCATGCTAGTAAGTTTATTCAGGTGAACACAGATACAGTTACATAGATTATCATACATAGCAGCATATGTGTAAAGAACCTAGGATAACCCAAAAAAGTCGATTATACGCTTGTTTCTTTCCAGGTGCTCCACCACTCTCCTCCTGATAATCTCCATGACTTTGCATACTACTCACGTTAGTAACACAGGTCTGTAATTTAATGCCTCGTGTCTGTCTCCTTTTTTAAAATTTTGGACTACATTTGCCATCTTCTATACCTCAGGTAGTTGCCCAGTTTCAATGGATGTGTTGAAGATCTTTGTTAGTGGCACACACAGCATCTCTACTCACTCTCTAAGGACCCTCGGAGAGATGTGTTTGTGTTTGTGACCCAACAATTAATTGCACCAGTAACTCATAATTGTGACCGGGTGTGGACGTGTGAATTGCTCATTACTCTATAATTTGTTCATGACTGTACCCATGTATAAACGCAAATAAGTAAATTTACTTACATGAATCATTACCTTTGTAACTTGTGAGTTCATTACCTTTGTACCTTGTTCAGCTATCAGAACTTTGGGGCCTAGTCCCTGGACCCATTATATACCTCTGTAATCTTTTGACTACCTCCCACAGGAAGGGTATGGGGTGCATAATAAACCAATTAAACCAATTAAACTAAGAGGTGTACGCCATCCCTCTCCTACTGTGTGGCCGCAAAGCAGTGTTAATAATTACCATTTATCATCAGACTTGGTTGAACTGAGTAATTATAAAAATAGCTTAAAATACTTTACCTAATGAGAACATTTTTATAATGTGGATTGAATGACCAAAAAAATATTGTTAAGCCAGCAGCCGCTGAGACAAGTGACTACCACACTGCCGCTTTATATTTACTTTTTCAACTCCCCTGATTATTTTTCGATGTTCTGAATATCTAAGTAGAGTATTATGGATTTATTATGAGGTAAATACTCTATGGGACTGTAATTGGAGACAGTGTGGGCAAGATAAGCTGTCGTTGTGTCTGTTAGGAGAAATGTTTTTTGTTAAGTTATGGAGCGGCGTCGAGGTCAGCAAAAAGTACCTCAGTGTTATTGTAGGAGAGTGAGAGTATTATCTGCTGGAGGCCAGCCAGCCTCCCAGCCTCACCTCGTACACTCATCTACTGTCATGGAGCCATAGTTAGTTTTAGCTGTAATATCCTGGGATAAGAGGAGTGAGGCAGTGCATCATCCTGGAGTGAGACCAACACACTAACATTAATACCATATCTATTATGTTATTTTATTTTGTTGGGTTATCTTAGGTTATATCTTCATATTATATTATTCTGCTTAGCTTTCTTGATGTTATTGTAGGTTAAATCTTCATAATTTACCGTATTAGTTTGCTTATAATTATGTGGTTTATGCAGCCTTTGTACATTATATATTTAACTCCTCATGCCAGTGAGGAGCTCTTGATCCAATGGATTTGATCTATTCTCCCTTACCTTGGATTAAACCTGGCAGCCTTCCACTCGCCAGGTGCTGTATGATCCCTTCAAGTTCAGCAGTTCCCTCATGAAAGTAATATTTATAAGGATAATTAAAACAGCCATCTGTAAAACGTCAGCTCATTGATTCTAAATAAAGATTATCTTAACGTTTGTGATTTAATTTTTGTTTTACAAAAATAAAATTTAAATCTCAACCCTTTGACCTCAGACAAGACTGAAGAGTCTAGCAGCCTGGCTGTACGACTCTTAATGATGGCGATAACTTTATTGACGATAACTTTATTTCAAGAGAAGATACTTTGAGAATTACAATAGTAGGTTAACTGTACAATGTATATCTTACAACGAAAAGCCCATAACTATGGTATGCCCTATGAGAATAAACCGCATAACAGTTACTCAAAATATGATGATTAGATTTATCATGTACACAAGTGTAAAGGAATATATAAATCAGGATGAAATGCAAAATTTGTGAATGCTATGAGTTGCAAATAGAGTAAAGCACAAAAAACATGGAATGAGGGAACTTGGCCATCTACTTAAACAAATTATTAATTTCCAAGGTTTGTGAAGATAAAGTACAATCTGTTTTATTGATATATATTTAACTGTGTTGCAGAGTTTTGTGAAAATAATTTAAATACAAAACTATTTTGATATTTGAGCTAGTTTTGGAGATATTTCTTTTTTCTAAATGCAGTCAGCTCTCTTATAAAGTTCCTCACTGTATTACAATTTTTCATAAATGTGATTGAAAAAGTACATCCAAAAATTGAATAGTGCATGGAAAGGCCTTCATAGTATAAGCTGTAAGTAAGTAAGCTTCAACAGAACGCAGGCATAACACGAGGCACAAAACACTTTTTGACATCTCTCGTGTCTGTCTTGCACTATGCAAAAATGCAGTGCACATAAAGGGCCTGAAGATCTGGAACTCTTTGCCTGAAACAGCATGAGGTCCCCTGCCCACAAAAGAAATTAGGACTATACTCAAAAATCATCTCATCTCTCAATAACAACCATATCCACATTTTGCTAAACTCTAACCAAATTTAAAGTAACTCTTCCAAATATTTTATTATCCCTTATATAGAGCAAAATATTGAATATTTGTATTTTACCACTCTTCACCTGTCTAGACTTAATTAGTCTTTAAGTATTAGGTTAAGTGACCCGAAATTTCAATTACTCAGATATGGTAAACATGAGGAAATTAAATCTTCATCAGAGTACAAAACAAATTCTGGCCACAAAATAGAGCGAAACACCAACGTCAAAGACCTAGGAGTGATTATGTCGGAGGATCTCACCTTCAAGGACCATAACATTGTATCAATCGCATCTGCTAGAAAAATGACAGGATGGATAATGAGAACCTTCAAAACTAGGGAGGCCAAGCCCATGATGACACTCTTCAGGTCACTTGTTCTATCTAGGCTGGAATATTGCTGCACTCTAACAGCACCTTTCAAGGCAGGTGAAATTGCCGACCTAGAAAATGTACAGAAAAACTTTCACGGCGCGCATAACGGAGATAAAACACCTCAATTACTGGGAGCGCTTGAGGTTTCTAAACCTGTATTCCCTGGAACGCAGGAGGGAGAGATACATGATTATATACACCTGGAAAATCCTAGAGGGACTAGTACCAAACTTGCACACGAAAATCACTCACTAAAGAAAGCAAAAGACTTGGCAGACGATGCACCATCCCCCCAATGAAAAGCAGGGGTGTCACTAGCACGTTAAGAGACCATACAATAAGTGTCAGGGGCCCGAGACTGTTCAACTGCCTCCCAGCACACATAAGGGGGATTACCAACAGACCCCTGGCAGTCTTCAAGCTGGCACTGGACAAGCAACTAAAGTCAGTTCCTGATCAGCCGGGCTGTGGCTCGTACGTTGGTTTGCGTGCAGCCAGCAGCAACAGCCTGGTTGATCAGGCGCTGATCCACCAGGAGGCCTGGTCACAGACCGGGCCGCGGGGGCGTTGACCCCCGAAACTCTCTCCAGGTAAACTCCAGGTAAACTCCAGGCATGATAGTGGCTTTCTCTGTGCCAAACAAATTATGAAATGTAAACACACATTGTAACCTTAACAGAGAAATAAAATTTTTGATATTTTATTTAATTGAAATAGGTAAATTGGTGGTTTCTTGTACCCAGTTGGCAGAATAGAAGGAATACTAGAAAAATAGCTATGAGTTTGGTCAACTGGAGCATTGGCATTGGCCAAAGATAGGGTGTAAAGTGGGCAAAATCGCTGATGTGTAAATATCACGGGGATGGCGAACTTGACGAGAGCACAATTCCATAAGTTTTCCATCAAATTTCGTTCTTTTGGTTTCATTACCTTTGGAAAAAGATTCTCTATACCTGGAGTTTACCTGGAGAGAGTTCCGGGGGTCAACACCCCCGCGGCCCGGTCTGTGACCAGGCCTCCTGGTGGATCAGAGCCTGATCAACCAGGCTGTTACTGCTGGCTGCACGCAATCCAACTACGAGCCACAGTCCGGCTGGTCAGGTACCGACTTTAGGGTTGTCCAGTGCCAGCTTGAAGACTGCCAGGGGTCTATTGGTAATCCCCCTTATGTATGCTGGGAGGCAGTTGAACAGTCTCGGGCCCCTGACACTTATTGCATTGTCTCTTAACGTGCTAGTGACACCCCTGCTTTTCATTGGGAGGATGTTGCATCATCTGCCAAGTCTTTTGCTTTCGTTGTGAGTGATTTTCGTGTGCAAATTCGGTACTAGTCCCTCTAGGATTTTCCAGGTGTATATAATCATGTATCTCTCCCGCCTGCATTCCAGGGAATACAGGTTCAGGAACTTCAAACGCTCCCAGTAATTGAGGTGTTTTATCTCCGTTATGCGCGCTGTCAAGGTTCTCTGTACATTTTGTAGGTCAGCAATTTCACCTGCCTTGAAAGGTGCTGTTAGTGTGCAGCAATATTCCAGCCTAGATAGAACAATCGACCTGAAGAGTGTCATCATGGGCTTGGCATCCCTAGTTTTGAAGGTTCTCATTATCCATCCTGTCATTTTTCTAGCAGCTGCAATTGATATAATGTTATGGTCCTTGAAGGTGAGATCCTCTGACATGATCACTCCCAGGTCTTTGATGTTTGTTTTTTGCTTTATTTTGTGGCTGGAATTTGTTTTGTACTCTGATGAAGTTTTGATTTCCTCGTGTCTACCATATTAGAGTAATTGAAATCTCTCATCATTGAACTTCATATTGTTTTCTGCAGCCCATTGAAAGATTTGGTTGATGTCCGCCTGGAGCCTTGCAGTGTCTGCAATGGAAGACACTGTCATGCAGATTTGGGTGTCATCTGCTAAGGAAGACACGGTGCTGTGGCTGACATCCTTGTCTATGTCGGATATGAGGATGAGGAACAAGATGGGAGCGAGTACTGTGCCTTGTGGAACAGAGCTTTTCACCATAGCCGCCTCGGACTTTACTCTGTTGACTACTATTCTTTGTGTTCTGTTTGTGAGGAAATTATAGATCCATCTACCAATTTTTCCTGTTATTCCTTTAGCATGCATTTTGTGCGCTATTACACCATGGTCACACTTGTCAAAGGCTTTTGCAAAATCTGTATATATTACATCTGCATTCTTTTTGTCTTCTAGTGCTTCTAGGACCTTGTTGTAGTGATCTAATAGTTGAGACAGACAGGAGCGACCTGCTCTAAACCCCTGTTGCCCTGGGTTGTGTAATTGATGGGTTTCTAGATGGGTGGCGATCTTGCTTCTTAGGACCCTTTCAAAGATTTTTATGATATGGGATGTTAGTGCTATCGGTCTGTAGTTCTTTGCTATTGCTTTACTGCCCATTTTGTGGAGTGGGGCTATGTCTGTTGTTTATAGTAGCTGTGGGACGACCCCCGTGTCCATGCTCCCTATGCATAGGATGGTAAAAGCTCGTGATAGGGGCTTCTTGCAGTTCTTGATGAGCACGTAGTTCCATGAGTCTGGCCCTGGGGCAGAGTGCATGGGCATGTCATTTATCGCCTGTTCGAAGTCATTTGGTGTCAGGATAACATCAGATGGGCTTGTGTTAACCAAATTCTGTGGCTCTCATAAAAAATTCATTTTGATCTTCGACTCCAGTCTGGTTAGCGGCTTGCTAAAAACTATGTCATATTGGGACTTGAGTAGCTCACTCATTTCCTTGCTGTCATCTGTGTAGAACCCATCTTGTTTAACCCTTTGACTGTCGCGGCCATATATATACGTCTTACGAGGTACAGTGTTTGACGTATATATACTCATAAATTCTAGCGGCTTCAAATCAAGAAGGAGAAAGCTGGTAGGCCCACATGTGAGAGAATGGGTCTGTGTGGTCTGTGTGCACCACATAAAAAAATCCTGGAGCACGCAGTGCATAATGAGAAAAAAAACTCCGACCGTTTTTTTTAATTAAAATGCCGAATTTGTGGTCTATTTTCATATGGTATTTATGGTTGTATTCTCATTTTCTTGGTCTCGTTTGATAGAATGGAAAACATATTATAGAAAAAGAGATGATTTTGATTGATTTTACAATAAAAAGAACCTGGAAATGGAGCTCAAAGTAGGGGAAATGTTTAATTTTTGCCGATGTTCAAAAGTAAACAAATGACATCATTGTCCAATAAATGTCCAACTAGCCATTCTAATATGCAGTCATGA